GCACATACTGTGTGCTGGCACTATGCTAGGCACAGAGAATACAGTGGTAGATAGCATGAAATCCCTGCCTTCAAGAAATGTACAGTATATTTTTGTGGAGTAGGCTTACAAATTATGTACTAATGAAGACAATGCTTTGAAATAAAGTAGTACAATGCAGATTTCTGTAATCATCCCTACAGTATCCACATGGATCTTTTCTCTCAACATTTCTGCCTTAAAATGTGAGGAACGCCAGTTATCTGACAATGCTTAGCACATCTCCCCTGGGTTGTAAAACCTCTAAGATGATTATATTTTTTCCCAAATCTTGTTGCTTTAACCAGTTGAAGAAGCTACTAATTTCTTTTATTTTCTTTGTCTTTTTTAAGATTGTATAGGAGGTCAGATAAGCATTTATCACCTCTGTGCTGCTAGCATCTGGTCATTTCTAGGGAGAACTAAGAAATTTATGTGTATGGCTTTATCCCCTCTTTTAGAACTGAGCTCAGGGATATCCTTTGTTAGCTTAGGCAAAGTCTTGTCTGTCAGCTGACATAGTTTATGTGTGGGAAAAGACATCGAAGTTCCCACTACCACAGATTTCTTTCTGTAGAAGGTTAGGCCACATTTTCACATAGCTTTTATATTATACACTAAATATGGAAATTGTGTCGAAAGGAAAGGAAGGTAAGGGAAAGAATTTAAAACAATACCATGTTTTGTTTTTGTCAGCAACCTTTAGTAACCATGGTTTCTAACAGATTTTTAGAAATACTTCTTTGGAAGAATGCTAATTTAGTTCTGGGACCACATTCTCTTTGAGTGGAAGTTTGCTCTTAATGTGACAATGTAGTGATAAAAGGTTTTCATTTTCATAATTTGAAAGTCAGAGTTTTTTGCTTATTTATGTTTATATACGACAAATCCATTGAATGGGATATTTTCATTTCCTTAACATTAAATAATAGATAAAATGTTAAGTTATAAGATTCCTTTCATTGGGTTCAGGAGAGCACAATGGGAACTCTATTACGGTACTAAAAACTATTTCCTACAAACATTTCTTAAGTTTTTCCCTCCTACTACTTAAATATGCAGAACTGTCATACTATGCTATATAAAGGGAGGAACCTAAGGAGAAAACTTACAAATTTTCCCAAGTTCAATGGAATCACTGAGCACAGATGATTTTTGACTTATAAATACCTATGCTGAAAAATCATCTCTACTTAATGATTAATAGAAAATATGTGTGGTAATTTTGATCTTTATTATATAGTTTGATTCCATAAGCAATGTGTAATGAAACAAAAATTATTCACAATTTAAATTGGATGGAAGAATTGCTGGCCTCCCGGGAAGGCAGGAATAAGTACATACGCTTCTGTGAGAAGCCGGGTGAAACGCTGCGCTGTCTACTTCCACTGTGCTTTCTCAGCCAGCTGAACCACCTTTCTTTCTGCTCACCAGGGCACTATGAATTACAACCTGTGCCCTGAAATTAATATTACTGCAGCCACAGTGAGTACACGGACTAACAGAATCATAAATGAGAAGAAAATGTAACAGACCATCTTTTCTCAATCCCCAATTACAGGAACATGCGTAAGTAAACCCTTTCATGTGAACAGCTTTATACGCACTTTGTGAAAGTATCCATGACTAGAAGTGCACGATCCTCCCTGGCAACTCCTTCCAACCTCTGATCCCGGGACACTCCATCTACAGGCTCTCCCCTATTCCTTCCATAACTCTATCGCATGTTATACTGTGTCCTAGAACTTGTATTGTTTCAAGTTGTGTTATTTCTCATCTACTTTTTTTTGATGTTCTCCCTCAATAGAGGCAAACTCTAGTCTATCTTGCTCATTTTTATAATATTAGTTGAGCCTTAATACTCATGAAGATACATGAAATTAATAGAAGAAAATTAAGAAGTTAGAATGTCAGAAAAGAAGAAAAAAAGATCAAAATGTTCTACCATCTGTCTAGCTGAAATACCTTCTGCTTTCAATTAAGCCCATCTTCTGTTTTTCAGTCTTTGACAGATAAGGGTAAACAACGATACCTCATTCTCCAACTAAAACCCCTCCACGCACTTGAAGAAAACTATTGAGGACAGTTAGTGGGCTATAAATCTTACTTTACCCTTAATTCCTTTTAGAAGAAACAAAGCAAAACATAAACAAGATTAAAAAAGCCTTAATTGATGATGACAGAGAACTATAAATTATTAGTTTCAAAGAGAATGGAATTTCATTGCTTAAATGAGACTATTTTAAATAGGAACAAGTTCAAACACAAATTTTAAAAAAGGAAATCTCATAGGTGAAGAAAGTTGTTCTAAGGGAAAACATGACAGAGAATACACAGTGGTGGGGAATGGCTAAGTAGACGGAAGTTCTGGGCAATACTCAGGTTACCAGGACTGTCACTGACATTCATCCTTACGTTCTCCAGCTCTTAGCTATCTACATTCCACATACTAGCTTTGTAGGGTGAATAGCTTTGCAAGACCTGGATTCTTTCAAAAGGATATTTGATATGGTAATGGCATTTATTACGAAAACACATTTACTTAGACTATTCCAGCCCAAGCAATAAATGGAAATTTTTTTCTCCCCAACATAAGTGTTTGTTGGTGAGTAAGAAGCAGGTCCAAGAAGGATTATGGATGAAAGAACATGACAAAGTACAATCATCTGAAGCAGAAGTAAAATCATAAATCTGAACAATGAAGTTTTCACATCCAACCAAGTTTCTGGGTTGTAATGAATACAACCAAGAAGTGCATCCTCCTTTTTACTTTACTCTACATTTTCATTATTATGACAGAAATATGAACATATTGGATGCACTTCTAAGGAAACATTAGAAAGATTTTACTGCTGTTCTTTCATATGTTGTATTCATTTGGTAAGAAAAATTATCTGTAAAAATAGACATGAAGAAAATGAAGTGTATTTCAATATTAAAATGGGCAGGAAATTGGACAATCAAAGTCCCTTTGTCTTTGTATCAAGTTTCTGAAAATTCTGTTCATAGGATCAGGGAGGTAATAAAAAGAAAAGTTTTTTTTTTCTGGGAAAAAGTGTAAAACCTAATCTATAGGTACAATTTAAAAAATATTCTGAATTTCTAACAACTACTTTGGGGAGGGGTCATAAATTGTCCCCAGATAGAAGACTTTTAACTACATAATGAGTTTGAATGTGAGGCCAAATGTCATGTTTCAAGCTTAGGGTGAAGGATATGGTGGAGGCAGAATCATAATGGGGTGGCATTGACAGTACCAGGGCCAGTCTCACATTGAAAAGATGTTGATATAAATGAAGCAGATGGGGTAAATTGGATGTCATTGGGTGGTGATACTAATGGAGAGCTTGAGGGTGGGGATGAAGGTAGAGAGATTTCTCCCAACCTCCCCTCCATACTCTTCTATGCTTTGTTAGTTGATGAGAAAAATCTTTACCTGATGATTCATTTCATTGGCTTCAAACTTGGAAAGTGATTTCAAGGACTACAAGATGGTTATTCATTCATTCACACACCATATTTTTTATTGAGTTCCTATGTGCAACAATCTAATGCTCTAGATGTTAAGGATAAAATGGTGAACATTTACTTTTGTTTTCCTTATGTACAACGTGGAGATTAGATTTTCTCTGCCTACTTATCTCACAGAGTTGGTTTGAAGTTGAAGTAAGATGGTATAGCAAATATAATAGTATTTAATAATAATGGCAGTAATATATTTTGGGGAGAAACATGTCAGATTTAAACAGCTTTTTCCTTAAGAGGGTGAAAAGGCATTTTGTTGTAGAATAACAGAGATAGGCAATCAGAAGAGTTGAAGGTGGAAGCGACAGCTATGCCATTAAGAGAGGGAAACAACACTAAAATATTGAGAAGAAACACTGGGAAAAGGCTTCCTTTACAATTTTGTTTTGTGGCAACTCTGACTTTGCCAGAGCTTCTAACATTCCAGAGCCACATCATTTGCCCCTGGGGTTTAGCTTAGTGCTCCTTCCCTTTCAGTCAGTCATCTATCAACCTTGCAGTTTTTGCCATATCCACTTTGATCTTTTATTAATGACTAATACAAATAAAAATAGTTTTCTTTAAATCAGTTATTTAAATACCAAATATTGTGAATATATTTAAAACACTAAGTTTATACCATTCCTTTAAATAGAAGATCAGTACCACTTGCTATAATTACAGGTAAATATAAAGCTCAATATAATTTAAACAAAATGATTATATTTAATTCTAGTAGGTAGCATTGTGTAAGCAAGGCCTGGAGCCTGTGGATGAAGGTTTTGCTCTTTCTTTGTTAAGAAACGTGACTATTGAGAAAGTGCTGAAGAAGCCAACAGATATACTAGCATCAGACTGAGATTTTCCTTTTTATATAATCAGAATGCTGTAAAAATACTGAAAAAGTGCAAAAAGGATTAACTTTGTTGCTCAGAGACACAATAGTATTTAATGGTATCTCACATCAGCTCATATGTACTATGGAGGTCAATAGTATAATAATGCAAAGCCTTGGTATAGCTGGTCTGAAATGTATGATTTTAGATATAAATATACCTCTTTATACTTCCTATTCCTTTCCAACAGAATTGTCAATGAACTCTGCAACGCAGTTGCAAAACATTTTGTACAACTTTTTTTCCAGTATGCTCAATTATCAAATTGTTGTTTATTCTACTATGGTATTATTATGATTTTTTTGGAAGGTCGAGTAACTGTGACTTTAAGAGGCTAGAGACTTTACTTAGGACCAAGCTTAGCATGCCCCCTCTTAGGTGCTGGGTAAGGAGGGCAATGTCTAAATGTGCCAGCAGTATCTTGCAGAAGAACCATGGTAAATCGGTGGGCAGAACAAATGATCTGTAGGGACTTGCTCCTAAGTTTCCCAACCAGAAGATTATAGTTCTTTCTCATCAATAAGAAACCTCAAGCCTCAAACCAACGAAACGTAACTTAGAGAAAGGCCCCACAGGACTCACCTCCCGTTAACATGAGGGCGCATTTGCACAGACAGTTGTCGTTATCAGCATCTTTGGTGCTGAAATCAGCGCCGTGGATGACCAGGCTGCTCTGCTGTCCTGCTGTCCCAGTGTGACCCTTTAAATACAACCTGAAGTTAAAGAAAAGAAAAGGAAAAGGAAAGGAAAGATAAGCCATTCAACAGAATAAGGGAACCGAAGAGAAATTTTGTTGAATGTTTGCTTTTTCATCATTTTCTCCCTTTTTTTTTAAGAGAACAAACTTATTTTAATTATTTGGAAAATACCAGAAACTATAAAAACCAAGCACAATATTTGACCATACCAAAAGCAAAATACAAGTAAAAATAACATTTAGACAACATGTTTAGACAAAAATAACATTTAGACAACATGTTTAACCTTAGAGAAACATGAATTAAAATACTAAGTTTAACACTCTTTCCACGATAGAGCAAAACAGATTTACTAAACCACAGTGCTGAGGCGGACTTTTAAAAACTGACATAACTTTTTAAAATAAAAATTAAAGAAAAAAAGCACTCAATTCGAACCTTGGAATCTCATCATTTACAAAATAACATGCTCAAGTGTCAGTGAAAATAAACAGTTGGTAAACCTGAAAACAAATCTTTCACTGAATGAATTCAAATTCCAACAGAATACAGAGCTTTCAAGCTGGGGAGAAACAACTCTGCTCATACTCTGGTCTTACCAAATACAAATAAATACAACAGGAGACCAAAACAAACTACTATACCAGCATCTTTCCATAGAACAGCAATTTTCTTTCACAAAGTAAAAGAAACCTAGTTCTGTAGAGTTGTACATTCCGTAAGCACAAAGCCAATCTTATTGTCAGAATCCTGGAGTCTTGCACTATTGACGTACAAGTAATTTTTGTCTCGGAGCAAGTCTAATGAAGGCACCCAAATCCTAGCCTTTGTGTTCCCCCAAATGATACTTACACTGATCTTATCATCCTTCCAAGATGACTTCAACCTATTTAGAGTTAACTTTCTAAATCTGTAAAGAGGTATGAGGAGATTGTAGTTCACGTATCAGTCAGGCCCTGTCTATTTTCTTTGTCCCTCCCAAATCCTTCCTGCCTGGTTTGCCAAGCAGGATCTCTAACTAGCAGGATAGAAATGCATTCCCACATTTACTAGCCATTAAGTAACATAGCAATTGTTGTGGGAAAACTTAATATTCATAATACTTCCAAACTTTTTCTAATTTAAAAATAAACCGACCTCCAAAAGTTAATTTCAGAGCCCCTTATTGTTAGCTATCTGGACATTTTATTCTGCAACCTTCCTTAGTGTCTGTCTCTTCTGGCTTTTTAAAAAGTTGTTTTGTCCTGGAAGAACACTTGAAAAAACTTTCAAATTAAGGGGACCATCATGGTATGTGACTTGTGAGCACCAACCAGGGCTCACTGAGTGCTGTCTCTTCTCTCGGACAAAATCTTGAGCTGAAGATTCAGAGAAGGGTTCCTCTCCCAGCCATGCCCACGGAGGGGAAATGGTATTTAATTTGTTTTTGCAGTTCTTCAAAAAAGGATTTTAGTTAAAGCTTGAGAGTTATTACTATCTTCATTCTTAAGTTCAAATGACTGTGGAAACATTTCAAGAGCTCCTTTGGCAACGTGATTGTTTCAGGGTCCATTTTTTTTAATCTAAGAATCTTGTCACTTTTAAGAAAGAACATTTTCTCCAGGACCTTGCAGAAACTTGATCATTTGTTCACACAACAACAAAAAATGTCTGCTAAGCAGACTTGTTTGCGTAGCCATTCCTCATCTTCACAGCATTCAGCAAAATCTGGCCTAGTATCTTCTCACTCACCTTTCAGTTCAAGGATCCTGCTGAGAACTCTTCCTTTGATAAGCCACTGGGTTTTTGTATGTAGAAGAGTTATGTACTCTTTGTTCATGTTTTAGTTTGTTTTTTTATTGTTCAATTATGGTTGTCCCAATTTTTCCCCCATTGCTCTCCCCTGCTCCACCTACCTACCTCCCACCCCCTGACTCCATCAATCCCCACCCTGCTGTCCATGCCCGTGGGTCCTTTATACACGTTCCTTGACTAGACTCTTTGCCTTCTTTCCCCTGTTATCCTTCTCCTCTTCCCCTCCGGCTACTGTCAGTTTGTTCCTTATTTCCACATCTCTGGTTCTATTTTGCTCATTTGTTTTGTTCATTGGGTTTTTTAAAAAATATCCTTGCATAAATCTGTCTTGAATCAAGTTAACCATTTTTGTAGCATTATCCAGAACTTTCTTCATTTCATCAGAATTTGTTTCTATCAGCACCTCTCTGTGCAGAAAAGCAGTGTGCTGCAACATCAAGATCAGGAGTTAGTTTTTAAAAAATCAAGCAAAAGCTTGTCACGAAGCCAACCACTGATCGGCACCAGGAGTATAGATGACAGACTTTTGTTTTTCAGATATGAAGACCTATGACATTTATATTGGCTTTTGTTTTGGGAGGCACCACACAGCAGAAACATTTTCTTAAATTTCATTCATCATTTACAAATCATGCAAATGCTATAGCATGTCAAATATTGAACTCTGGACTTATCGCCCCCGATAGAAAAGATGTTGCTTTTCAGTTAATTACACAAAACTTCTTTAGCATCATATGATGTAAGTCAATTTATTAAATTGAACTAAAGTCTTTTCAATTTCTTGTACTTCTTGCCCTAGTATTGTTGATGTTATTAGCTTCTTACCACCTATGTGAAATTTTCTTTTCTGGAGTAAGTTCTTCTACTCGATAATTTGGTTCCTAAATCTTTTCAGCAAATGTAATTTTTCAAAAAAAAGCTTTACTGTTTTCATATTTCAAAAGCCATTTAAAATAATTGGCATCTTTACTTATCAAATGGGTGTGATTTATAGTCACAAGTGCTGGATCAAGTGCCAGGTTGTAAGTTGCATTCCACAGGGACAATATACAATGGAATGGGACAGCTTGGATTATAAGTCAATATAAAATCATTAAAACGAAGCTTTCATTGTAAAGAAAGAATCTCTTTCTGTTCCTAGTTGCACTAGTATCCTGAAGTAACTCAGGAGACCAGGTCTTCACCCCTGACCTTCTCAGCAGCGTCTGTAGTTCTGTGCCCAGCATGGTCTTCTGTCTCACACCTCACCTTCAAACACTGCATGCAGCACAGGGCCATCAGATTTGTTTGTAAGAAACAAATCTTTTTTTTTATTCTTACATATTACTTTTTATTTTTCACCTTTATTGGGATATAATTGACAAAAATTTGTATATATGTAAAGAGTACAACTTGATACTTTTGTGAAATAATTGCCATAATCAAGCTAATTAATATATCTGCCAGGTACTGTAAGAAACAAATCTTAATAAATACGAAAATGGGCATAGTAGCTAAGTGAGAAATCACAAAAAAGTACAAAAACTCCACAAACACAATTCAGTTCTAACCTGCAGGACCCACGTTTTTGCAATGTTTACAACAAAGGGGTCGAGGACAACTGAGTTACGACAACACAAGTTTCATCCTTAGAATGAAAATTTCCCTCTCAGGTCGTACAGGGTGAGTAGAAGTAAACTTACAGCTGTTCCTATGGAAAATAACACAGTAATTAATAAATAATAATACAAGAATAAACTTCATGTTTTGCATATTTACAACTGTAAACCTAGTTTTGCCCCACGCTGTACGTTAGAGCTTCCTCGCTCCCAAACGCCAGTTGGCAATGCAGGAGAGGCTGGGGGAGGTACTCGGGAGGGAAGGGCCAATATCATGCTCCGACCACACTCCCCTGTGTAATAGTGGTCACTAATCATCCACGCTTCTCCTAGCTCAACCAAATGTACGGGGGCCCACTGCACAATGCCATGTGGGCCAGAAAAGATCTCTGACGAGACTCTAACAGGGCTGCTCAGTCACTGTTCCCACCTGTAAATTCAGCATTATGCAGCACAAAAAGTTCAAAAACTGTATTTTCAGTCATCATTGTATATGGAATCCCATCAATATCTCACAGAATCTCAGTTGAGAAACTCCCCCTCCAACACAACTGATTTCTTTTTCCTCTGAGGGGTCATTTTCATTTAACTCAGATCCTTCATGACTTGACTGGCCAGTTCAGGTTCAGCTCCTCCCTCATTGTCTGACCTGTTCTCAGATATGGGTTTTGTCTGTCCCAGCCCCTCACCCTTCTCTGGTACCACCTGCTGGTCATTTTCCCCCTTCTGCTCGGTCATTTTGACTTGATCCTTCACCAGATTCCAGTTCAGCTTCTTCCCCATTTCCTGCTTGCACTGCCCACCCTGGGCTAAGCTGTGGCAGGTTCTTAGGGCTCTTCACCACCTCCCGGAGGTTATATTTTCTAAACTGTGTGTAATCTGTCCCAACACTCAGGCAGCAGACAGCTTTAGTGGCTTCCACCACCCTGTGTACTGTGGATTGGTAGGATTCACTTTGTTTGGGGGATTGGGTCTTCCTACTATTCCCGCCAATTCTTTGATAACTTCTCTATTCATGTGACTGTTATTTGGAGATTTGTATACAATGTAAAATGGCCCTTTATTGGGAGCTTTAAGTCAGGGTTTGAAAAAGATGTTTCTCATATCTTCTAATAAACCTTGCATGTGCCTGATATGGTTAATATTTGAAAAATAACCTGAGTCTTCTTTTTGGTTTTGCACATATCCTGGAGAATACAATGCATCAGTTCCTCAGGTTGTGTCCCAAGCATCCTAATGAAGATGAAGCTATTTGCTCCAGTTTCCAATGACTGGAATTTTCTTGGCTTCATCTTTGTAGAGGCTTTAATGTAATCAACTTCGTTCCTCAGGGCAGCCACCATGTCATCGTCTTCTCCGTCACTTATAAGGGCTGATGATCTGTGTCTATAAACTTCCCAGCCTATACCAGTCATCGCCTTATTTTTTGGGAAGGCCGTTGACTTCCTCCATGCACTTGCCCCTCATTCGTTCCTGTTGCAGGTGAGGAGAATGCCGTGTAGCCCAGGTCCCAGCTGCCAGGGTCGGACACAGCTCTGGAGTCCCTACTCCTACTAGTGTGAGCTGGTTACCCTTTCTCTGTTCTCTGAACTCAACCCTTCTAACAACCTGCTATAAGATCCA